GGCGGGGCGGGGGAGTGTCTCTGTATATGTGTGCTGAGTATGGGTACCCATGTACCTTCAGTGCCCCAGCCAGGAGGCGGTGAGTGAAGTTGTGCTGTTGAGGCTTTTCCTTGCGAATTCGTTGATGCTGTTTCTGCTTCTTGGATCTCAAGGACTTGTCAAGTGGCAATCCATTTGCTTTTTGGCCTATGAGGAGGGGCCGTGTCATCTACCCATTCACTCACTCACTAAGCATTTCTGACCATCTATGATTGGCCAGGCATTGAGCGGAGCAGCAAGACAGGACCAGAGAGGGTCCCAAGCTCGAGAAGACACAGTGATGTGGACAAAAACAGGGGCTTTGGAATCAGACTGGGTTTGGATTGCGTCTCTACCACTGAGTGATCTTGAGGAGACTGCTTGCTGTTAGTCCATACAGCACCTCAATGCAAACTAGAAAAGGCGTTGGCGCAGCTCAGTGGGTACACAGCATGGCCAGCCAAGTGCAGAGTGTTGGTCAGACATCCCTAGGTAGGGAAGAACGTGCACAACCAACTCTGGTGGCCCTGGCCTTGGGCAAGTTACTTAATTGCTCTGGGCCCTGGTTTCCTTAAAGAGAAGCTATGATTACCCAACATAAGCATTAAAGGCTCAGAGGACTCCCAGAGAGAACTCAGGGATGAGAGGTAGGTAGTCAACACCTGTTGAGCACCAACCCTGAGCCGGGAATGGTGCCAGCCACTTTTGCATAAAATAGCTATTTTCATTGAGAATCAGGCCAGGTGCAAAGTTGGCATGTGTTAGATTACTGCAGATGCCCCTCAATTCCTACAGGAAATAAACTCCTGAGGCCCATGTACAGAGACCACCACAATCTGCCCTCTCCAGCCTTGTCCCGCCAGCGCTCTCCTCCCCCTCATGTCAGAGTCCCATCAAACGCCCTTTGAGAACTGCCTGCCTTCATGCACGTTGCCTTTGCCAGCGATGTTCTTCCTCCCTCCTTGGCCGAACTGACACATCCATCCTTCAAGACCGCACGCCACGTGTTTCCTACTCAGTGAAGATTTCCTTGACCCGCCCCCCCCCCCAAAAAAAAGCAAGGCTGACCACTCCCGGCCTTGGGTTTCCCGTTGCTAGTACGGACCTCCTCCCTGAAACCCATTACACTCTATTTTTCACTTACATTTTCGGATGTTCTTCTCCCTTACGCGACAGCGTGCTCCCTAAAGGAAAAATCCACCCCACCCCCCACCTATTGAGAACTAGTCGGAGTGCTTACAAATGCGTGTCCGTCTCCCCTCACCCCTCCTCGCTTCCCTAAAATAACGAGCAAGTAGCGCGCTCGAGAGTTTGCAAGCGCTCTCGCAGCAACTCCGGGGAGACGCGGAGGCTGAGCCGGACAGCTCCTTGGCCTCGGCCACCGCGAAAGCGGCAGCGCGGGACCCAGCTTGTAATTACGGGCGCGACCAGCACGGCGAGCCGGAACCTCGTCTCCGGAAGCGAAGTTCACTTCACAGGAGAAACTGAGGCCCCGGGGATCCGCGGCACCCCTGCGGGCCCAAACCGCACGTCCGACCACCGGGAGGCCGGGAGCGAGGTCCCCGCGGGTCGTCCCCACCAGCCCCGTGCCCGCCCCACTAACCGGCGGACCGGCTGCACGTCTCCTCCTCCGCGCGCAGCCAACCCCGCGCTACCGCCGCCGTCGCCACCAGGGCCAGCAGCCCGAGAAACAGCGACAGGCCCATCAGCTCCGGCATCTGCGGCAGCTCCATGTTGGCAGGGCGCTGCCACCTCAGCCTCCGACTACGCTGGCGCCGGCACGCCTCCGCGGGGCCGCGCACGCACGCGGGGCGGGGTCTGGCCGTTGGCCCGTCCCGAGGGGCGGGGGTCTGGCCGTTGGGCACCCTGGGGGCGGGGCCTGACCGTTGGGGCGTCCCTAGGGGCGGGGCTTGGCCGTTGGCTCGTCTCGCGGGGCGGGGCCTGATCGTTGGAGCGTTCCGAGGGGCGGGGCTCGGCTCTTCTGGTGTTTGGCTGCGAAGCTCGCTCGAGGGCAAGATCTGAAGGCTCTGCCCAGTCATCCTCTTGAGTAATTTACTGATAATCGTTTATTAAAGGCGCTGTTCCAGCCATCTCCACAGTGGATCCTTTCGAGGAGGCAAGGCGGGGATGAGACCGTCTGGATGGACCAGTGTGTTCCAAGACCAAAGACAGAAGGAAAATCAGGAGGCGGTTGCTAGGATCCAAGAGGAAAGTGATAAGGACCTAGACTTAGGGGTGGCCTGGAGAGTGGAGAGGAACTTGAAAAGATTTTTAACGAGATATTTTTATTTTGAAATTATAGATTCACAAGGAGTTTGGGAAAGCCAACAGGAAGGTTCCCCGTACCTTCACCCGGTTTCCTCCAGTGGTAACATCTCACGTAGCAATAGTGCGATATTAAAACCGGGAAATTGGCATTGATACGGTCTACAGAGCTAATTGATAGGGTTTGAATTAGACCTGCTTGGCTGGAAAGAGAGTGTTCTCAGAACAAGGAGCAGTGCCCCGTGGGCCTCCCAGCCCTGCAGCGCAGAGTGAGTTGAAATACCAGGGTCAGGGATTCCAGATTCAAAGGTTTCCGTGCCCACCAGGGAACCTCTCCTGAGAGTGCAGGTTCTCGGGCCTTTAGAAGGACCCTCTAAAGAGAAGGGCTGCTGCAGAGACCAGGTGACAGACAGATACACCCATAAGCTCGGTTGAGGACATAGATCCAGTCAGAGAGCAGATGGAGTGTGGCCTCATTTTCTTCCCTTTTGTCCTTGGTGGGGGGGGGGGGGGTTGGCATTGACTCAGCTGTGGGCAGTGGGGTGGGGACAGCTGGGAGGGGGTGTCCAGAACATCCTGGGGCTTTTCCTCCTTAATTTGCTATTTAGAACTGTAGACCAGCCATGAACCACTATATCACCTAGAGACAAAGCTATACTTTTTTTTTTTTTAGTTTATTTATTTAAGCAATCTCTACACCCAACGTGGGGCTCAAACTCACGACCCTAAGATCAAGAGTCAAATGCTCCTCTGACTGAGCCAGCCAGGTGTCCCGACAAAGCTGTACTTTTAAGAACTTCATTCACCGAGCGTTTTGCATGTGGCATTTATTGATCCGGGAGCTTTGTATTTAATTTAATCTCCCATTCCCATCCCACAGATTAGGAAACTGATGCTCTAGGAGGTGCTCATTAATTGACTTTCCAGATCACACAGGAGAAGAGTGAACGTGGCAACACATGCAGGTCTGTCTGTGACTCTAATCTTTTGATGTGGGGGACAAGGAGAAGAAAAAAATAGGGCTCTGTGGACAGCTCAGTCAAGGCTACAGAATTCTTCCACATCAGGAGTTTAGTTGATTTTTCTAGCAGCCTCTAAGGCCAGTGATGCTATGAAATTAAACAAATGAAAAAAAAATTAGGCTCAGGTCAAGTGACTTACCCAAGGTCAACAAGGAAGCAAGAGATACAACTCATTGGGGTGGGTGGTAAACCGGGGTCCACTACACTCCAAGACCCATCCTCCTCCTACCTCGCCACTCAGTGGTGATAAGGCCTGGCTCTTACCCTCAAGTGTCACAGTTGGAAGCCAAGGTTAGCTTGTGGAAGGACAACCAATGACACAAAGCAGGACTTGGGAAGGCTGGGCAGACCAGGGAAGGAGCTCTACTGGGAGCTCTACCAATGGGTTTTCAGGGGCAGTGAGACTTGGCTGTATGGCCGTGGCCCAGCATCATTGTAAATGTAAATTCTTAGACTCCATCCCAGACCTGTTGACTCAGAAATTCTGGAGGTGGGGTCCCCCGGCAATCTGTATTTTAAAAAGCCCCACTGGCTAAGTGATTCTGATGCATAGTACGGTTTAAGATCCACCAATTTAGGGGTGCCTGGGTGGCTCAGTCGTTAAGCGTCTGCCTTCAGTTCAGGTCATAATCCCGGGGTTCTGGGATCGAGCCCCACATCGGGCTCCCTGCTCCGTGGAAAGCCTGCTTCTCTCTCTCCCACTCCCCCTGCTTGTGTTCCCTCTCTCGCTGTGTCTCTGTCAAATAAATAAATAAAATCTTAAAAAAAAAAAAGATCCACCAATTTAACTAACTTGAGCTCCAGACACTTGTTATTTGCAGCTCAAAGCCTCTTCTTACAGTGGTTCTTAACCTTGGTTGCATATTGGAATCACTTAAGAAATGCTGGTGGTCGAACCTTCCACACGGAAGGCTTCTGATTTAATTAGTCTAGACTGGGTCTGGTCGTGAAGATTTTTTAAAGCACATTATTCAAGTGCACATTTAAGTTTGAAAAGCAGCTGTCAGGGATACAGCCAACTAATACAAGACTATACGTAGAAGGGGATGTTCTGTTGGACCAGGGTGGTGGCTGTGGGGATGGATGCCTACGAGGTCACCTGGCCAGGCCTTGATAACAGGTACCACAGGGCAGTGGGATGTTGACAGGAGCTGAAGATGACTGTTTCCAGCTTGTATAAGTGTCTGGATGGTGGCACCCTTCCTGGGGATGGGGAACACGAAGAGGACCAGCTTTGAGGAGGAAGACTGTGGGCTATGGTCTCAGAAATGATGAGTTCTGGGACACCTGAGTGGCTCAGTCGTTAAGCATCTGCCTTCGGCTCGGGTCATGATCCCGGGGTCCTGGGATCGAGCCCCGCATCGGGCTCCCTGCTCTGCGGGAAGCCTGTTTCTCCATCTGCTGTTCCCCCTGCTTATGCTCTCTCTCTCTCTCTCACTGTCAAATAAATAAAATCTTAAAAAAAAAAAAAAAGAAATGATGTGTTCTGTTTTGGTTCCTTCGAGGTAAAGGGAGCTGTGAAACATCCAGAAGGGAGGGGTTAGGGTGGCAGTTGGATATGTGCTTTTGTAGCTCCAGGGGCAAAGCAGGGCAGATCCAGAAGAGTGGATCCTCGGCAGAGAGGCCAAAGGGAATGCTGTTACCTGGGGCTTGCCACAAAGTAAGAAGGAAGTGGGCCAGGAAGGGTCAGGCGGAAGAAGAGGCTCCCACAGCAGGCCCTGGGAAGGCACTGTCAGGGAGGAGGGAGAGCCTGGAGAGAATTCTGGATTCATGAGGAAAGGGTGGTTCTAGAATGAGGTCCAAGCTGGGGCGCCTGGGTGGCTCAGTTGGTTAGGCGTCTGCCTTCAGCTCAGGTCATGATCCCAGAGTCCTGGAACTGAGCCCCTCGCCAGGCTCCCTGCTCAGTGTGGTGTGGGGGGGTCGTCTGCTGCTCCCTCTCCTTCTGTCCCTCTGCTCGTGCTCTCTCTCTCAGATAAAATCTTAAAAAAAAAATGAGATCCAAGGGCCCAGGGGAAGGCAGGAAGAGCACTGCAAATTTGGATTTGGCAATGAGGGAGTCAAGTGACCTTAGTAACAGCGAGTCAGTTTGGGGTGAGGCTGGGGTGGAAGTGGGGAGGAGGAGACCAAAGATGGGGTGAGTGGGAGGGGAGGAGAGAGGGAGAGCAAGTATAGATAGCTCTCTCAAGGAAAAGTGGCATCTAGTGGGGGGACACAGGGTCAAGGGGGGTCAAGGGGATGTCTTATGGGGACCTTCCTGGGAGGGTGTGCGTGGGGGAAAAACAGCAGAGCACACCGTTAGGATTTTTTTTTTTTTAAAGATTTTATTTATTTGACAGAGACACAGCGAGAGAGGGAACACAAGCAGGGGGGAGTGGGAGAGGGAGAAGCAGGCTCCCCGCCGAGCAGGGAGCCCGATGTGGGGCTCGATCCCAGGACCCTGGGATCATGACCCGAGCCGAAG